AGATTGTACAATATTAAAGTTGTGTATTTTTGTTGTAGGGGAGCAGTGTCTGGGGGGAGCCACGAGGAATGAGCATCCAGATGCAGAATAAAGCAGAGCTTGTAAAGCCTTGGCTTTATTGAATAGTACACAGAGCCTAAACTCTTAGGAATGAAGAATTCCTTTGTAGCTGTTATCCATTTTGGGAACATGGTCAAAAGTTAAATGTGTGATATGTGCTCTATTCCATGCAGAAACCCAGGGCTAATTTGATCTTACTCTCTAATAACATATTCCTCTTGATGTAGATGATAGGCATAAATGGCAAAAAAAGAAAATAAGCTTGTCTCCCTCCCATTTCACTACCATTCAAGTGCCTACCACTCATTCCATTTTCATATAGTTAAGCTGATTGTTTCTGGCTTCTGGGAAAAGGGACATAGTCACCTTTTAGTTCACAGATGAGAACGCCATTAAGTATGTCATTCCCTATTACCAGAAACCATTTGGTGTGTGGAAAGGCTTTGAAACTGGTAACGAACTGCTGTTAATATAAACAAAGAGTTAGTAACCCAAGTCTGCCCATGTCCTACAGACAAGTTCATTTATTTCTGTTTCATGAGCACTTTTTCTTTTGGTCGGTCATGGGGCCTGAACTCTGGGCCTGGGCGCTGTCCCTCAGTTCTTCAGCTCAAGGCGAGCGCTCTACCACTTGTGCTCCACTTCCAGGTTTTTCTGCTTATGTGGTGCTGAGGATTCGAACCCAGGACCTCATGCATGCAAGGCAAGCACTCTATCACTGAGCCACCTTCCCAGCCCTCATGAGCACACTCATAACAAATTGAGCTTGCTTCACCTGAACCAGCCTTCAAATGGGTTATTTACCAAAGGGTTCCCCATCCTCCAAGAGCATTAAGGGCAAGGAGGGAGATTGAGGGCTTGTTAATGAGGCAGAAGGCCGGCTTCAGTGCGGGAGTGAGAGCAGCAGGAAGAACAGGGTTTAGCCATCCAAGTTTATGGAGAGTCATAAAGTCATCAACAGGGCGGGGCCTTGTCCTCACTAAGCAGGGAAGATCATCTTGCTGTGGAATATGGCTCCCCAAAGCAGCTGCACCTTCCCTGGCAGCAGCAGCCTGTCGGTGAGAAGACTGCTTTGTTTATTGCTTAATCTATCACTGTTGAACTGCCTGCCTCAGGGAGGCTCAATTTAAGATAGATTGAAAGGTAGTATCTGTCAATTGAATAAACACAGATGGTTTTCCACAGCAAAAATTGATTTTTTTCCTTCACCAAAAACATAAGCACAAAACGTGATTATCTTTGGAAGCCAGGCATGAAACGTCTCAGCTCCAGTCCCGACTATATTCTGCCCTGGCAGACAACTGATACCACATGGGCCTTGGGTCTCTTCCATATGGTTTTAGGTTCTTGATGTCAAATATGAGTCAACTTGTTAGTTAATTCACATAAGGTCTGTCAATCCTTGGTCACTGGCTAGCAAAAGCTTGATCTAACACTATAATAAAGAGTCTCAGGAAAGTAATACGGTTTACCTAGGGGACTTAACTATAGCTAGACCTCAGTGTTCTTTCATCCAGAGTTCTATGCATTCAGAAGGCTATATACATTATCAAATACTTAGGTAAAGAGCAACTTATAGTCAAGAATTTGAAAGTAGCTTAGATGACAAAATTATGGAACAGATATTGAAGATTCATGGGATTTGCAGAAGGGTGTATAGAAAGAGTACTCTTTGAATAAGAAGAAGATGGAGCAATATGTGTTCTTTTTTATGTGCCAGTCCTGATGCTTGAACTTAGGGCCTAGATGCTGTGCCTAAGCTTTTTTGCTCAGGGCCAGCCCTTTTGCTATTTGAGCCACAGCTCCACTTCCATTTTTTGGGGTGATTAATCAGAGATAAGAATCTCATCGACTTTCCTGCCCAGCCTAGTTTTGAACTGCATTCCTCAGATCTCAGCCTCCCGAGTAGCTAGGATTACAGATTTGAGCCACTGGCACCCAGCTGCAATATGTGTTCTTCTGTATATTTAGGCTCTAATTCCAAATCATTCCTAAATTGTTGGAATATCATTGGTGTAAATGATTCTAAGGAGTCCCTGAAAGCAATGAAATGGTCTGTCTCCTTATATTCTGCTATTGTACACGGAAGTGTGGAATAATGGTTGAAGGATTTCCAAAGAATAACTGGTGTAAGGGAAGCAGCAGTAAGCAATTAGGCTACATAAGTGTTTTCACTGCATATTCTACAAAATTCAGAAAATTGAGGGAAGGAGTGGATTTTGGAGGGACCGGGGAGAATGATGAAAGAAGCGACATTGGTCAAGATGTGTTGTGTACATATACCACTTTGTTGAATGGCAACTCCTTTATACAACTACTTAAAAATTAATTTTCATGGTTTCCTTAATTTGTGGTACATAGATTGTACCTATAAATATGTAAGTAAACATGTTGGGCTGTGTACAAGTGGCTACAAATGAATTAACTGAACTATAGTAGACTCTCTGGAGAGCTCAAATAGTGTCTTTCAGAAAAAAACTAGGTCAAAGCCCAACAAAATCAACACCAGGAAATGGGTACATCCAAGAGAGGGGTGACCAGGGGGAAAGGGGTAGACAAATGAAGGGTGAGAGGTAGAGAATGGAGTAAAAAAGAATTCATTGTATATGGCACAAAACTAAGAAGAGTAAGGGGAAGGGCAGGTTGAAAGTGGGTGAGAATGTTGAAGGCACAGCACTGATCAAGACACACTGGATTCAAACACGGCTCTGTTGTACGGCCCTTCCTTTGTACAACTACTTAAAGATAATACATGTTTTTTCATTAAAAAGCATAGAACTAGATGGAGAGAGGAAAGGCGGGAGAATGTAGTCATGATATCCTGGTTCAGGTACATTGGGTACACAGGTAAGGTTGGGAGAGATCAGGGAGAAAGATGAAAGGGGTGATGATAATGATCAAGATGGATTGCCCTCATAAACTGACATGTTGAATGGAAACCCCTTTCACACCTATTCAAAGACCATAAAAAAGAAATTTTTAAAAAGTCAGAACTAGAAATGATGACTGGATATCTGTTCTCATTGTAGAAACAGAAAACTGAGTCTACAGAAGGGAACTTAATAGCCAAAGCCAGATACCTTGAGACAGAGTTGGAATGGCAAGAAGTCTTGGTTCTTTCAGGTATGTTAATGTGCTGTGCTTTTCAAATTGTGCGACACAATTATGGAGTACTAGCAAAGAAAGTATGTACAGAAAGCAGAAGCAAAGAGGCTTCACTCCAGCTATTTCAACTGTAAAACACAATTGATTTTACAACTTGTGTTAGTCCAAACTTAAAGCTCTACAGACAATGAGCACTCCTGTTAAGAGACAAAAATAAAAAAAAAGAGAGATAGAAATATCAAATGTCCCATCAGGAAAATAGAGCCATTTCTGTCTCATTTAAGTAGTGGAAATCTGAATTACCATTGCCTTAGCATGGAAGGGCTACATGTTAGAATCTGCACGTGAGTTAGCATTTTTGGGATATGTCAGAAATGGCTTGCCTTTGAGTCCAGCAAACCTCAAATCAGTTTTTAAAGTAAGACAATCCAAACTTTGTAGAGCCAATTTTAGTCATTTTGAAAAGAAAAGGATTTCAGTCCAGTCTTTATCTGCACCTATAATATTTCCTAAGTACTCTTTTCTAAGTAGAAATAAATACCTTTCTTCTTTCATACTAAAAATTAAGCCTCTTATACATATTCAGACAGAAACACATTAGTAAAATTTTATTCCTTTCCTCCACAACTCAGGGGAACTATGGGAATGGCATGTTAAATGTAAACATGTTTATATTTCCACTCAGATATGATCTTCTCTGTCTGGTATTGAAACTACTGCTTCAATGTGTCAAGAAAAGACAGTCAAATCTAAATAAATACACTTGTCTCAAACCATGTATGCCTAGAATAAATACCATCTTTCATGAATTGTTGTAGATAGATTGTACCTATAAATTTATAAGTAAACATGTTGGGCTGTATACAAGTAGTTACAAATGAATTAACTCAAGTAGCCTCTGGAGAGTTCAAACAGTATCTTTCAGAAAGACTAGGTCAAAGACCAACAAAATCAACACCAGGAAATGGGCACATCCAAGAGGGGCGGGGGACATGGGGAGAAGGGGTAAACAAATGAAGGGGGAGAGGGAGAGAATATTATGATCATGATATCATGATCAACTCTTTTCTGTGGTAGAATGGCACTATAATGATCATAATTGGAGAGCAACAATGATAATTTCCATCAAGAGAGGTCAGTGTGAGATGTCTCTCTGGCCACACATAGATCTTGATATATTTATCTGTGTGTTTGGTTGTAGTTTTGTCTTCATGTTATGTTTTAAGTGTCCCTCTGTATTTTATATCCTCAGTAATATCGTTTAAAAAAATCAATATCCGGAGATTTGTTTTATATGTTTTATATGCCTTCCAGTATTATAAAGGAGGCCTCAAACATGAGGCTCTTTCATAGAGCTGACTTTTCATGTTAGGAATTAAAAAAAAGTTATTCCATGGTATTATAGACATTATTGGGGGGAAAAGCCAAGTCACATTTTTTAAGCATTAACTTTTGCTTCAAGAACCGACAAGGCAAAATCTTTCACAAAATACACTTCCAAAGTATGATTTTTCTGCTATTTAAATCTCTTTGTTCATATAATTTCAATGACTTAATTGGCCATACCTGTATACCACGGCTTGATGCTTAAAATCATAATTGGTTCCCTTTTCTTAAACGGGGCAGATTTGCTCCCTACTAGAAAAAAGACTCACAAGTTACAAAGGGAACGTGCCTTCATGGTTTTCTTTTAAACACAATAGTTTTCTTTGAAACACAATAACGATCCTTTTGGGGTCATTCATTCATCCATTGACACCACCTAGCATTTTGCTGGATCTGAGGAAAGTACAGAGACAACAATAGATTTGCAGGTTCTTGATCAGCCACAAAGCAAGCAGGAGTCCCTGGGAAGGCATGGTGGGGTATAGTCTACACATACCCTTCATGGCAGATATTTCCATTGATGAGGCTGAAGGTGGCTGCGGAGGGATTGGTGCTTTTGAAAGAGGTCATGCAAGTGGTGCTTCTGCCAGTGCTATGGGAACGGCTCATAAGGCCTGGCCGGCAACAGAGGAGCTGGGTGTTGAACTGTTTCCTGAAACTCTTGCTCAGCAGGTAGAGGGCAAAGGGGTTCACGCAGGAGTTGGTGAAGGCCAGGAGACGGGCACAGATGCTGGTGACAAAGTGGAGCATTGAGGTGTCCACCTCAGAGTAGTGGTAAGAACGGTACAGGTAGATGACATGGTTGGGGAGCCAGCAGAAGGCAAAGAGACCCACAAACACCAGAACTGTCTTGGCAAGTCGCTTCCGGGATTCAATCTAAGGAGAAAAATCACATGGAGAGAGACGGAGAGGCCAGAGAGCAGGGTCAGAGGAAGGAAACAAAGACTCAGACAGGGAAATAGATGAGGAAATACAGTGAAATAAATAGGTGAGTGTACAAAGCCACAGAAAAAGAATTCAATAGAGGAAGATAAATGCAACAGAAACACACAGGAGGGCAGGAAGAGAGAGAGGGGAGAGAGAAGACAGAGAGACAGAGACAGAGAGAGAAAGAGAGAGAGAGAGAGATCCACAAGGTAGAATAGAGTTAGAATATGCTGCCATGAAGAGATCTTTAAACAAAGTTGATTACATGCTTGAATGGATTGCACAATGAAATTCTAGTAAGTGCCCTCTTTTTTCCTCCAGAGAGCACTAGTGGAGTTTATCAGCCATGCTACTTCAGGCCTTTCTTTGCTTCACAGTTAATGATTTCTTATTCCCTCTGATGCTCATAAAAACAATCAGCTTAGTTCTTCCTCATTGGTCAAGCCAAGCGAACTCCCCATTATTATTTTTTCATCTTAAGCTATTTCTGGACTACATGATATAAGAAGTTTATGAGACAAAATGAAATGAGCACTTCCTTTTGATCGTAAGTCTCTCTGTAACCTCAAGGGGAAACTTCTTTCTTATTAAAAAAATTAAGAATGCAGGCACTGTGTGTGATGGCCTATAATTGAAGCTGTGTGGGAGGCTGGGATAGGAGGATCACAGTCTAAGGCAAGCTAGGTGAAAAGCATGAGACCTCACCTGAAAGGAAAAAGAGCAAAAGGTGCTGGAGTGCAGCTCATGTGTGGTCGAGTACTTGCTTAGCAAATACAAGGCTGTGAGTTGGAACCCCAGTACTGCCAAAAACTAAAACCAATTGGGGTTACAATGTGTGCTTGCTCCTGAAAGGTCTTTTTAAGTAGAGACATTTGCACTGACAATTGGTACATTTTCTTAGCAATTGAGACTACATTTTTTTTTCTGAAGGTGAGGCCTCAAGTGTGGTCAGCTATTCACTTATGTGGAAATACATTTTTTTGTGTATCACTTGATAGGCATTTGGGTTAAAGGCAAGAAAGACTGATACAGATGAAAAAGTCAAAGCACCTAGTTTATATCATTTGTATTTCAAGGATGAAATTATGGGAGTTATGGGATGGGAGATGTGTGAAAAGCATCCTGCAAGTTTGGACCCCCAGGCCTTGTACAGATTCTCTCTTGCAATCCTTCCACAATCTTTCAATATAGGCATGAATATCCATATCATAGGTAAGAAAGTGAGAAACAGAATAAATCATGCAGTCTCAACTCAAACTCAGATCATTGTGTTTTTCAACCAAATTTCTTTTCTTTCATTTGTCTCCTCCAACTGCATGTGAGAACATTCTTTCTAGCCAAATGACACGGTTCAAATTTAAGAAATAATCTGCCCGCAGATTGCCTATTTTCTCTAATGGGAAAATCATCAGAGTGCCAGGAACTCATGCTTATAATCCTTGCTACTCAAGAGACTGAGCTCTGAGGATTGCAGTTCAAAGCCAGCCTGGACAGGAAAGTCTATGAGACTTTTATCTCCAATTAACCACCAAAAAGCTGGAAGTGGAGCTGTGGCTCAAGTGGTAGAGTGTCAGACCTGAGTGAAAAAGGTAAGGGGCAATGTTCAGGTCCTGAGTACAAGCTGTAGTACCTGTATATACACAAAAAGGTAAGTGATGGCTACCTAAACATTACACTTGTTCGTGGAATCCAAAAGAAAAGCAAGAGACAAAATCGCCAAGAAGGAAATAAGCCAACTCTAAGTACCCACCTGCTTCTTGACATGTATATTCCCTTCCACAGGAAGATTGTAAGCACTCTGTATCAAGTTTTTGGCAATGAAATAGTAGTAGACAGAGATTATTGACAGTGGAATGATGTAGAAGACAAGAAAGGAAGCCATAGAGTGGATTTTAGGGTGCAGCTCATTGGAATGTGGGTATGGAGCACAGCTGATGAAGGTCTGATTGGTGCTTTCTTCATGGAAGGGGTGGAGATCTGAAAACACAGCCTCTGGGATGGCCAGCAGCATGGAGATGATCCAGATCAAGGCAGCTTTCAGGCAAATCTTCATTAGGGCATGTGATGCCTGGATATCCATTGGTCGGACAATAGCTTTGTACCTGGGCAAGAAAGAAGGAATATACTGCATAAGTTGCCTAATAGGGATCCAGGGCCAGGACTAGAAGGAGGCAAGTCAGCCTTCTGAGATGCAATATTTAAGGACATACTCACTCTCAAGTTCATGAAAATGGTGACTGAACTCACACAGCCTCAGCAGTGAGCACCTCTTTCTTCAGCAAGAACAATCTGACAATGCCCACATTTCTTCTCTCTCTCTCTCTCTTTCTCTCTCCTCTCTTTTTCTCTCTGTCTGTCTGTCTTTGTCTCTCTCAATTTAGAGGTTGTTTTATAAACTATATATACATATATATGTTGTACACAATGTCATGTTACCAAATATGTATCTATTGTGGCTAATTAACATGTGCCTTATTTCACATGACCATCATTTTTGTTTCTGTGAGACTGTGTGAAATTGACTCAGTTATTTAAAAAATATAATACATTGCTATTAACTATAATCATTATGCTGTACAATTCATTATCTCTCTTGATTTCAGAAGTGCTTCTCAGAAAAGATGATGTTCCTGTCATTTTTCTTATCACAGAAATTAATAACAAAGCATGTTGTTGCTTAAAGTGAGACAGAGACAAGGAGGTTAGCTTTTTATTTTTTATGTTTGGAAAATCCTACATTATGAGTGCTCAAATATAGCTCAAGAACTTAAGTCACTGAATATTCAAAACATGTCCCTTCCTTTTTCAAAGGACGGAGAATGGATGGTCTATTGGAAATTTTATACCCAAGAGGAGCCTTGTCATTGTCAAATCTTTCCCTTTCCTCTTTCACTTTCAGATTATTTTCTCTTATACTCCTTGCTGGCTAGTGAGACATTTGTGCCCCCTTTTTTGGATCACGTGCTCTGGGAAGCAGATGCAGGAATGCAGTCAGGAGTTCAGAACATTTGTTGATTACTTGGAGGGCTGATAACAGGAGGATCATGGCTTGAGACAAGCCAAGGCAGAAAAGGTCACAAGACCCATTTTAAATCTACTGTCACATGTCTATCATCCCATGCTTCAAGGGAGGCTAAGATTTGGAGGATCAGACCTGGTCATAAAGAAACATCTTTGAGATTCCATTTCATGGAAGGGAATCTAGATTCTGTAGTATGTGCCTGTGATTCCAGAGATGATGGGAAGTCTATTCCCCTGCAAACCCAGGCAAGAAATGAGACCTTATTCCATAAATAATCCATGAACAACAGGACCCAGGCATGGTTTAGTGGTTTTGCACCTGCCTTAGGAAGCATGAGGTCCTGAGTTCAAACTTCAGTATCATTATCAACAATAACAAAGTCTGTTCAGTAGTAATAGCTGTGAAAGGAAAAAAGAGAAGGAACATAACTGGATGGAGGGAGCTATGAGACAATAATGAAGATCTGACAAAGTCTACACTAGCAAGAGTGACAAAGCATAGTGGTTTGCCTGGAAAATTCACAGATTTAGCATTAAAAGTCCCGTGTTCTGGGAGAATGGTCAGTTAAGTAAACTGAGACAACTGGTCAACCCTACACTAGTCCAATGGGAAATTAAGGAACTTATTGTCCAGTGCAGAATCCTGTCTTGGGTGGAAACGGATAGTCACTGGCTGAGGGTTACTCCAAGAGTAGTGTGACTTCCATTACTGCCTGGCTCAGTAACTGGGCAGGAACCAGAGGACTCAGTAGCACATCACCATGTCTGATTCAACACTCCATACAATTCCTAGTCCATGTATCTCACTCAAATACACTTGTCTAAGAACCCATCAGAGAATGAGCCTTTGATGGACAGAGAATGTCTTTTTCCATCTTGATACCTACTCACATTCTGACATGCATAAATTATACAAACATTCCTTCAGTTGGTGAACTAAGCTACTCTAATGTGGCAGTTGATAAGTTGGGGTCAAATAAATGTGAGGCTCTTTATTACTGAAAATACTGTATTCAAACTGGTTTTACTTCATATCATAGAATTTAATGAATTTCCCTTTTGTAGACAGCTATTGGGTGAATGCTCTAAGATGCACCCTGACTTTTCACGCATTTTCCTCCTCCTGTATAGCAAAGCGAAGTGAGTTCTTAAGTGGCAACTTTGGAAGAAAGAACCTATGGTTACCCAACTGTCCCTGACTAAGGGAATGGCATATCTAAAATAGATGGGGGTGTCTGTAAATCGATTATTGCTGCAGGCCTAAGTCACTTTCTCCAAACACCTTTATTAAACTTAGAAGTGATTGTTCTATTGTTTTCAGTGTGATTTCTTTATCTAGCTCTATATTCTTAATTCAGGTAGGGAAGAAGAGGGCTATGATTTGGTGTGTACTCTCAATTACCCAAATTCCATAACATCACCATAGTTCTGCTTTAATGTACCTGGGTTTGTTTGCATGTGAAACAATTATAAGAAACATATAATGATTTCAAAGAAAGTTCTATTTTCCTCTTTACTAGCCATTTCAATACTTTTTATTCTTATATTCAACTGAATTCATATTGGTTTTTTGGTTGGTTATGAGACTTGAACTCTGGGCCTGGGCGCTGTCCCTCAGATCTTCAGCTTAAGGCTAGTGCCACAGTGCCACTTCTGGTTTTCTGGTGGTTAATTGGAGATAAGAGTCTCATGAACTTTCCTGCCTGGGCTGGCTTTGAACCGCGATCCTCAGATCTTAGCCTCCTGAGTAGTTAGGATTACAGGCGTGAGCCACCGGCTCCCAGCCTGAATTGATTTTTTTAAAAATTAAAAGTATGTGAATGTCTTCAATCAAAGATGCCTATAACTGAGGGTATTTCTAATAAATTTGCTAAAATGACAACTTATGATTTCTGCATTTTCTGGCAGATAATAGTCATAAGTACCATCAAGTCTTTCAGTAAAGGTGATTTACTCATGCATGATTCAGAAACTAGTGTGAACAGCTTACCTTATCTCTCTTGGGAATCTTCTGTTCCTAGGTTCAAAATGCCTTGGGAACAATTGAAAACTATTTTGGATTCATGACATTTATTCATGAAAGATAATATAAAGCTGCGTATGATGTTGCAGGCTTATAGCTCTAGCACTTGGGAGGCTGAGGCAGGAAGCTCACGAAATTGAAGCTAGTCTGGGCTACATAGCAAGATCCTATTTGAATTTCCCTACTTCCAATAAATCACTTAAGGACATTTCTTTTCATCTTTTTCACAAAGAAACATTTGAATTTAAATCTAAGCCTTCAGATTTATGTGCCACTTTTGAGAATGTAGGGATAGAATAACTTATTAAATAATGTGTTGAAGATAGGAATTAGGCAAATTATGAATTGGAAAATTCTACAAAAATGATGATTCACTTTTTCATTTAAGGAGGATATTTTTGTATGCATCTTTGGTGATAGCATGGGATTATTTTCATGTACTGAGTAAAATAATGGTATTGTAGTCATACATTTCTTGAGACCTTGTTTATTAAAGACATACTAACATATTTACCAGTGAAACAATATGGTATCTAGCATTTATTTTTAAACATCAATATATTGACATATCATTTGTGCAATGAAGATATACAAAAAACAACAAATATTTTATCTAATATTTGCAATATATCAAAGAATGGAAAGAAATCCTATTTCCTAAGCTGTTGTTTTGTGCCAAGCAAAAAAATGACATCTATATTATCTCACTTATGTTCCATGTAACCCTAACAGGTTCATATTACCCCCATTCTGCAGATGGAAAATTGAAGCTCAGGTAGTTTAGGAGGTGGTGGAGTAAATATCCAATCTAGGACTACAGCTCCTTCAGAGGGAGATTTGGATAACTCTTATCTAGATGCAGAAAAAATAGACTAGAAACCAGACACTGGGCTCTCAGGAGTCAGGATTGAAGCTACTTCACACACACACACACACACACACACACACACACACACACACACACTCATGCACATGCACATGCATACACCTCCACATCCCTGAGCATAGGTAGCACAGATGGCCTACTTTGTGAACTGCTCATCATACCAATAGAGTGACCACCTCTCAGGTTCCAGCCATCACCTTGAAAGTTTCTGAGACCCTTGTGTTGAGGGAAGCAGGTCTCTCAAAAGCATACAAGTTTCTCAAATGTATATAGACCATACTACACCCTCCCTCCATGTCTAGTGGTCTGTGGAACATGGAACTGATTATTCTATTTCTTCTTCTTCTTGCTTAGCCTGTTTTGCCCAGAGCTCCCAATCCAGGGAGCCACTATTAGATTGTTCCTTTTTAGGGATGAAGCTGGTTGAACTGGAGTGGATACCTCATCTAAACCAGTTAATTTATGGAGAGAACGCAGTTAGCAAATGATTGAAAAGATTTTAATGTCAAGGAAGTGATCAAGGCCAGAAATCATAAACATGTAAAGGTGAATAAGCAGAGTAGATGGCTTGAAAGAAAGGAAAAGAGAAAAAGACATAAGAGGAAAAACTGAGGTGATGTGGCCCTAAGTAATACACAAAGTCTTTGTTTCCTGCCCAATAAACTACTGCCAAATGTACAAGAGATCTTTTGTACTCTTAATATATCTCCATTCCCATTGTACTGGAGTTAGGTTATGTCTTCTGCTCTTTGCCAACAAAAGAGCTTTGTCTAGGACAATAAGATACAATGGCCATTTATGTATTTCTATGATCATTTCCTATATATCACTCCTACCTTGCTGTCTCTTGAGAGACTGAGCTGTAACTTCCTATTGTTCCCAAGAGATATACAAGTTCCTAAATTGCCATTACATCCCACCTTCATCTTTTTCTGTGTGTGCAATCCTAGAATCACTATGTGTGTGAATTCAATCCTTCCAAATTTCAGCTTAAGTATCATCCTCACGAAGCTCTTGCTGAGTATGTCTCAAATTTTGTATTCTTTCTTTCAACCTATTTGAATTTTATGACTAGATTATCAATTCTTTTCATTTTTGTGCTTACAATGATCTGTCTTGAATTAATTATCTGCTAGCTTTCTATGAGTATATCTTTTCTATGAAACTTTCTT